GATCATAGATGACGTCTTAAAATGTTCAAAACTTTACAGTGAAACCACTCGCTGCGCTCGTGGTTCCACTTTAGTTTTGAACATTTTAAGACGTCATCTATGATCAATAAGAGGACAGACAATGGAAATCTATGTGCGATTTGTTAAACTTACGGTCCTTCAAGGTTGCCATGTTTCGAACTCCAAGACTAAAATACGACATCAAAAGAGACAATTAGACATCAAAAAACAATAGAAATACTTTGAACATCTCGTGAAGATATATTTTCACAAGTTATTAGACAAAAGAAGTCTGTACTTACCATGCTGTTGGCCTAAAAAGGGCTCCAGGGAGAAAAACTCCAGCAGCCGCCATCTTGGATGTCTTCCTGCGCGGCGTGCCGGGTCACGTGACAAGAATTTTCCGCTGACAAATATTCGAAATATATTACTTGCCATGATTGGGTAGAAATAATTTTGACCAATAATAATGCTCGTTATATTATAGTGTTCTGATATCGCAGGCGCAGAATTCTTGATTCATTCTTTCGTCCTCGTAAATCCAAAATGTCTGGAAGAGAAGGTAAAAATCAGGAGAAAATCTATTATTTCTGAGGAAATGATATTAATTTTGCATGGATTCGATTTTGTTTTTAATCACAGGTGGTAAGAAAAAGCCTCTGAAAGCTCCAAAAAAGCAGAAAGGTGAAGAGGACGAGGTAAGATGTTTAGTAAGTTCTTCGAAAATAAGCTCAACGTGTTCATTCGTAATGAAAAACTTGTTCTGTTAGATCGAATTTTAGGGTATTTACTTTTTTCCTTAGAAGATTTAGGTTGAAGCTGGTTTCTAATTCGTTACCTGTGTGTTTTGGATGCCTAAAAGTTCAAAAGTCAATGAAGTTTTTTTGTCACATGGTTGGCTGGTCCCTTGGGGGACGGTCGAGGGGGCCCTTGTTCACATTTTGTATTCAACATTTTCTTACCATGCCTTCTAGATCTAGAGCTGACTGTATTTTGTATTTTGAATTTTTTTCACACTTGCAAAGAATTATTAGAATATACTGTCAACATGCAGGGTACATATGTGTGCCCATTGAATAGGCCTTCTGCAACAACAGGTCACGCGACCCTTCCCCCATAAAAAGAGGACTTGTATCAAAATGAACACCAGAAATGGAAAGAGCACCTCGATATTAGTAAGAAGGGAAAGTTTTAGCTTATAAGATACAACACAGGAGAAATGACATTGAATATAAAACCAAATATTTTATTGATGGTTTTTACATCGGCCATGTTGGAGGAATTTAACTAAAGAATTGTCAATAAATTCTTTTGTTATATCCTCCAACATGGCCGCCATGTTTTTTGTTATTTAATTCTCTTTGGAATGGTTGAAAACCATCAATAAGGATTTATATGGGAAAATGTGCTGGATGGTAAAGCTTGTTAGCATATTTTTCCATACAAATCCTTATAAAATATTTGATTTTGCATTTAAAGCCATTTCTCCTGTGTTACATTCCATGGCTGAAGAAGAATGAAAAAGTTACATTCCCTTGATTTCAATATAATATAATTTCATAGGAAGATGCTAAATTCAAGCAAAAACAGAAAGAAGAAAAGAAAGCTTTAGAAGAAGCCAAGGCAAAAGCTGCCAAGAAAGGACCTTTAGGTATGAGACTTTGTTAATTTCAAAATACGAGAAAGGGAAAGAAAAAGAAAACTTCTCCTTTYGCTACTGTGAATCCTAAGGGCTGTGTCCCATGACTTAAGATAATGGCTGGTCAGTTGCTGGTCGTGATCACATGCCAAATGGTCATACCTTGTTTCTGGCTAAACAGACTCTGGCCTCTGAAGATGACTTCCGCTCAGGTTGCTGAAATGTCAGTCACCACCAACAACAGTCTTTCTCAAGACTACATTCACCCTGACAATCACATTTCACAACGAACTCCAACACCTGGGTTCAAACCATTTACTCTTAATAAACCTTAATGGTCAAAATAATAGGCAAGATAAAGATTTGACTAGACAAGTTTCAATTTTGACCAGACATTATCTGATGAGCCACTTAAGCCCTGATTCAAGGGATCAATAGACCCTTTTGGAGTTCCAAATTACTGCTGCGTTTCTTGATTACAGACTCATTTACTCAGGCTAAGCTTTGAATCAGTGCCTAATTACTCGCAAATACCAACGGTAAAGTAAAGAATGCACAAGTTAAACAATACAAACACTTTGAAATTTGACGGACCTTGACTGGAAAACGTGAATATTCTTCACAAAATTGAGGATTAGCCTGAGCAAATGAGTCTGTAATCAAGAAACACAGCGGTAATTTGGAACTCGAAAAGGGTCTATTCTCAATGCCACATGTGAATAGAATTTGTTTGATGTGTTGTTCTCTCCTGTGGTTTGAGTATCTTTCTCTGAGTTTACCAGTTTTCCTCTCTCTGCAAAAACTCAATAGGCCCTTTGCAGCTCAGTAATCACATGCTGATTAATTCACTGAGAGCAAATGAATGAACATTTTGATTCCCATGGGTGACATATACTGGTGAGCAAACAAACTTTCTGCAACCTGTTTCGAGAGATCGTAATAAAACTACATTTTGTAACACACTGGTTACACATTGTTTCATTGATTTCTTTACAAGTAGCTAAAAAGAATCACCAATTTGAAATACAAAAAAAAAGTTTGCTCACCAGTACAGACCTGTGACCGTTAACTGCAAAGGGCCTATTGTGACAAGGATGATTTTTGAGGTGATAAAATAAAGGTGTGTTTAAAAAGAAAGGAAAAGAGGGAGAATTGGGTACATTATTGTTTTATACTAAAGCATGCCTGAAACACGTATTGCATTTTTTTATATTTTTTAGTTGGTGGAGGAATCAAGAAATCTGGGAAGAAATGACACCATGAACAGTCTTCCTGAAAAATGAACTATCTTTTCTCCTGAACATATTGAATATGTTTACATTGCAAACTTTACCTAGGAGGAATCACTTCCTTTTTTTAAAGATTCCTTGATTTTAGATCTTTTCTCATTGTCAACCAGCTGTTCTCAAGTCATGAACTAATAAAAAAGTAACTTATTTTTAATCCTCTTTCCATTATTATTTTTTAAGATTAAATCTGGTGATGACAGATATATATTACATTTTGAGGGATTATTTAGTGTCTGTTTGATGGGTTTTATTACTGGGTAATGAGTCTTATCATTAGCACTGATCTTGGGTTTCAGTGTACCTTATGTTTTTTCTATTTTCCCCAACCCTTCTGTTTCAAAAATCAATAGACCTATTAAGCTTTGTATGCAAATTGCACATTTCATATCGCATGACATTCCCTTGAGAATTGTTCTTTTATGATGGACATGTTAAATATTTACAAATGAAAGAATCAACTTCCAAGAGTGGCATCGCATGGTCCCAAAATGTGCACAATAAACAACGAAGCTAAAAAGGTCTATTGACTTTTTATTAACACCACCCTATTCTCATCTGGTCATTGGCTCCTAATTTACAGTAGACATAAATGTGTTGAATGCTGGTGAATAGACCTTATTCGTGTTGTGACAATGTTTTCCCAATTCAGTGTGACAAACCTCCAGGGGATTAATTTTCTTTTGTTTTTACTCTTTGAAAAATTCACGAGTATCCCAAAGGATACGAAAGGAATAACAATGATATCCTGATGAGTTTCAAAACAATAGCTCTTCATTCCCCCAGAGGTTTGTCACGCTGAATTGGGAAAACATTGTCACACCACAAAGGATGAAAGAAAGGAAAAAGAGAGAGAGAGAGAGGGAAAAGATGATGAATTATAGACGAGGACTGAAAGAAAGAAGCTGGATACCAATGGCTTATCTAGTCCATGCTTGGTCTAAGCTGGAAATGACCTACTTCTCCAACTAACCTTCTCAAGAACTACAGTGTACACCCATGCTCACCACCCAAAAAATATCCACAAGGGGGGTTGACTAGTCACCCTCCTCCCCAATCCTCCCTTTTGCACAAATGACAAAAAAATTATTTTTGACTCAAAAAGATACATTCAAATAAACTTTCACCCCGTTTACTTGAAGCTCAAATTTAATTTCCATCTGTTTGTATTGCCCGCTATTTTCCATCTCTTATGGGTTTCCTGTGGTTTGAACACTGAAAGGAAGAAGTTGGGTACCAACGTCTCACTTTTTCCGTGTTACGTCTAAGGGTCTGGTAGAAAACCACCATCAGTGGCCAAAGCAAATGTTTTCCTTCCGGAAGAATTGAAATTGTTTCTTGATTCTTTTGCTCGTAGAAAACAAAAGACTACGAGAAAATACCTCTGGACAATCAAACAAGTTACCCAACATTACCATCATCCCTCCTGGACTAGTTCAAAGGCCATGACTTGAGAGCGAATGTGAACAAAACACCTTGGTTTGTGTCATGTCGTCTTCGACCAAAAGAGGAAAAGCAGCCTTGGTTGAGTTCGATAACCAGACTAAAGGTAACAAAATATACAACTATAAAACCCTAGAAAGATGCTTGATTTCTTGTATATACGAATATTCATATATTCTAGCTCCTAACTGGGTTAATTGAATGAGATCACGAGGTTAGTTGAGAGGCTTTCCGGTTTTGATGTGTTGGTTATTTTGGCTCACAACTTTGGGATAGGGTATCTATTCGCCAGTCATCCCAACTAAACATTTCTACCTTGAGTTTCCTACAATCCAAAAAAACCTGCGTTATATCAGGCTAGGATTATTTTCATCCCCCATTCTTTGAGTTATTGTAACTCTTTTTTTCCTATACAATCAAAATAAAGGGAGGCGTGCTACGAAGATCATCATGTCTTCTTTCTGAGGAAGTGACGATGCATAAGCCAGTTTTATTTGTTTTACCACGAAATAAAATCCACTATTGCCTTTCTTTAAAATTAATACAATTATTAATATGATATAATAAAATATACACTTTCTTAACTTTCTTGGTCAAATTGAAAAAAAATATTAAAGCAATTTCGTATATTTTCTTACTCTTTAATAGTTCTTCGTAAAGTCAGGGCTGAAGCAAAGTATTGGTGTTCTTAAGATTGATTAGAAAATTCATAGTTCTATTAAATATTTAAGGTAAATTTTTCAAAGTCAGTTCAATCTGATTGTTCTGTAAATCTTCAATCCTAAGGTATCTTATTTTCTTTAGACGTAAATTATAAATGACTGTCTTTGATCGATTTATGATTTATTGGAATAAATGTTCAAGTGAAAGCTGGTTTCAGCCAAGTTTATGTTCATTTCTCATTCAAAGACCTTGTTATTGAAACTCTATACAACACCAGCTTTTATCTTTGACACAGTTTAGACCAAAACAAAACATTTTGGTAAATAATTTAACTCTTGGCTTCTCAACAGACACTTTTTCCAAAGTCACATGTACGATTTTGCGAAGTAAGTTACGCGTCTAAGATTCGTTCGAGATTTGATCACTTCGTATTCAGCTTTAATTCATTATTTTGAGGTGTCCAAGCACGTGCAAACCCCTATAATACCAACTGTTTTGTTTGTGTTGGAGGTATAAACCTCTTTCTTTAGAGCCATTTAAGGCTTTAAGAATACTACTGAAACTGATCGATGAAATTTACAATGCTCCTAATCTCGATTATTTATTGTTTATTTTTTCGCTTTGAAAATTAACAACATTTCACGTTCGTTTAACCGCAACCTTTCGATTACTGCAGCATCGATCGCCAACATATACAAAAAAGAAAAACGAAAAAAAAAAAANTGGGAATCAAAAGTGAAATAGAAAGCATTTATAAATTAAACAAGTTTGGAAAATTTGGCTGTAAATCAAAATAATTACCTTTACAGTAAGCTTATTATTGTTCTTACTTCACCAATATGTTTAGAAATTTATTAATGTATATACAATTCTGGTATTGTAACAGTAAATGTATAGAGATAATTAAGTTTTATCTCATTAAAAATATCAAGAAATGCACGTGTAAAGTTCGAACATGTGTCTAGCTACAGGTCACATACATGCATTAAGTACTATGCATGGTCAGTTCTTTAGAATAGTCATCCGTCTATTGAGAGCTGTCTGTTTCTATAATTGCCTTGATTATGGTTTATGCTGATATTTCATTCATTTATCATAACAGTTTGATTTTTGATTCTGTTCACCAGACAATATCTTAATTGGTTTGGATGTCATAATTGACACTTGTCATGATTGACACTTGTTGAACTCATTTTTTGACATAAGCACACAGCCATCTGTGAATCTTTCTCTCACCTGTTTCCCAAATTTGGTACAGAAAAATTTTTCTTTCTTTTCACATTGAAATTATTTCTCATTGAGATTATAACTCATGGTCCTGGAGTATGTTACTAATGATCTAAAATCTTATCTTCTAAATTGTCTAGGAAATTGTATTTCTTTAAAGCCTCATAATAACCTGTATGTCTGTTATTTATTTTGCTAATATTTATTATACTCATTGTCTAGAAGCTATTTTTGGGACTTTTTTTACAGATTATAATCATTTAAAGTGCGTCAGGCTCTAAAAATGTTGTACACATTTCATGAAAGAAATTCCTTCAAATTAAAGGAATCAAACTGGTAATTCTTCCAACCCTGTAATCTTGTATCATATTACTTTATTTATCCACCACAGACAAGGAAGAAAATTCCAATGATATTTTATGTTAATTCTTAAATGATTGCATGAGGATGAAGCATGAATTTAGATCTCAAATTATATATTTCCTGGTAAGATTCTTTACATATGTATTTTCTCTCTCTAATCCTAGGGATATTATGAATTTGTACAGCTACATGTAGTTTCACATGACAAAGATAATCCATTATCAGTTTCATGTTTACCATGGATTAATTGTTAGTTATTTTATTATTATATTTAATTACAGTTCCACACTAAAACAAAAAAACAAGTACGGTCTATATTCGATTCCTTTTGTATGAGAAGGGATATATTTAATTGTTTAGCATTCACTTTTTCAGGTAAACCAGTTTTGTTCAATTCTTTCTAAAAAATGTGATGCTGGTTCAAAAAAAATCTTATTTGCTTTTGAAGTGCAATATGGTTGTCATTTTATTGTACAATATTTAAATTACATATTTTTTCGTTTTCACACCTTTTTATACTCATTATTATTCATGTATATAAGTTTATATAACGTTTTCTTAGTTTTTTATCACTTGATAATGACGTTCAGTTAACGTYGAAACGTTGTGTAATATTATATTTTTTAGCAAAGTTTTATTGCTGAATTTTATCTTAAAATGTTACAAGAAACCACTTCTTATCAAGATATGGTCTTAGAGGCTTTTTTCCTTTTTATCAAATAAAATTAAAAATTATGAATTAGGCATGAAAATGATAATTATTTTGATTTTGGGATTATTTTTTTAGTTTTTGTTAAAGCTGTTTCTTTCTGTTTTCTGTGTTTATAGGGAAGAAATATTTCTATTTATCTGATTGGCCTAGTTTCATTACCATATAAGGTATCGTTTAATCTGATGTTGAATCATACTATCAGGTGTATGGCAGCCAGGCTGTCTGTATTTAATAGTCTCAACAAAACCTTGAGCTCTATCTGTCTATATCATTTAAGAAATAATCATGACTAGCCCAGGTGACCTTCTATAGATATATATACAGTATGAGTGGCCGTGTTGTATGAGATATACAAACTCAAGGTGTATATCGGATACGACACGGGCACTCATACTGTCGATTGCTTTTCAAACGTCCAGGTTAGTTCCTTTGTGTTTCACTAGAATTTTCAAAATTAAAGTGAATCTGGCCAAGAAAATCCAACTTAAAGTTTATGCAAATGAACACAATTTTGTATCAGATTTACAACACTCTTCATGGTCATGATTTCTGTTGTGTTTTCCTCTTGAATTATTAATGAGTTTGACAAATATATATATACTTCAAGGTGGCCAGTTTACATGATATTTCTATCTCTAATTTTCTAGCTTTCTTTCTTTCTCTAGTTTTTTAACATAATATTTCTGTCCTCCTTTTCTCTCATTAAACAATATCCAGTGTGCTGTTAAAATGAATATGAAAATGAGTAAGTTAATGCTTGACCAATGAGGAATGTATTTTCTATGCTAGTGTAAAATATCCCATTTTCTCTTTATTTTGATAGAGCAACCAAAAGCGGCCAACCGGAAATGCTACATTTTCCCTAGAGCGGCCAAAAGCAGCCAGTGGAAAGACATTTTTGCTTTTCGATTACCTGTCCCCTAGGACATTTCTATGTGTTGAAACATGTCGGCTATTGTTTTTTTGGACATGTGAAATGCTGCCTTGCAGAAGATATGCCATGAGATGCTACCATCTGGCCATCCAGTCAATTACAGTTGATTTCATGAAACTCCGGCCACTCCCTTTCTGAAGTTTATTAACAAGTTCACAACTTGGAATGAACTTCAGGACTTCAAAGTGAAATTAATTAGCGATCAATCTTTCAAACTAACAGTACTGAAACTTCAAAAACCTATCAAGTCTACTGTTGAAAGTGAAATTTTTTTTTCAAAATAAATTTCATCACGACAAATGAAAATTATTTAACTCTGTACATTGTCTGGAATAAAATTTTTGAAAAGTATTTAAGATAGTTTAAAGATGCAGTTTAAAATCTAGACGTAAACAAGTTATGGTTCGTTATGCCAAAGTTCATTTGCAAATTCCAAAGTTGGTATAAATAACTATTGTTAAACTTCAGTTAGTGTAAACTTGAAGTTCATGAACACTAACTGAAGTTTACAAGTTATTCATGCCAACTTTGGAATTTGCAAACAAACTTTGGAATCAAAGCAGCTGAAATATTGTGAAACCAGCTGTAACCGTTTTACAATACACTGTGGCTAGCCAGAAAAGGAGAGTTAAATTGGGTTAACGCAGTTGCCAGCCTGTGGAAAATTGAACAAAATTACTGTATCCTCCAACCATTTACGATTTAAGCCCATAGGCTTGGATCATACACTCAACACAACACAACACAACACAACACAACACAACATTTATTTTGTTATTTTTCTTTTAGAAATTCGACAGTTGCTAAATGAACAGCTCAAGGGGTTTGATGCACGGACGGAAGGCAAAGTATGGTTTCTTGCAGATTTGCAGGAATATTACAAGAGACTGGCTGAGTTGGAGTCAGAGTATGCTAAAAACGTAGAAAAACTTTCTGAAAGATTCCTGGATAGACTTGTTAAATTCAAAGCTCAAAGGTACATATTTTGGAAATTGGAACTTTGTTTCGTTCTGGACTTCATGGACTTACGGTGCTACTACTATAACCGGGGCCACTTATGTAGACAGCAAGAACCAATCAAATTGTGGATTATGAAAACAATACATTCCAACTTTGGGTAGTGGAGCCAATCAAGAAGCAGCAGAAAACAATACCCTTTCGACATATCTTTTTGATATCCGACGAGAAAATGATAATGGCTGTCTAGTTGTTTACATGTAACATCAGGGTCAAATTACCATTTTCGTGCAGTCTAGGTTTCTGATTGGCTCGACTACCCAAAGTTGGAATGCATTGTTTTTATTCTATATTTTGGTTGGTTCTTGCTGTCTACATAAGTGGCCCCGGTTATAGTAGTAGCACTGTCAATATTTTCTACAAAATAAATGTTTTTTCTTGTCTTAGAAGGATATTGAGGTGTTTTTTTTTTCAATTAAAAAAAATTTATTTCCTTTTCCATTTTCATGTCATCCCTTTCATTTCTTATCCCACCAGGAAGGAAAGGTCAACAAATATTGAATTATGGAACAAAGTTTTGTCCGACACCAAGAACAGAGCAAAAGCAAGACAGGCTTTCAGCGAAAACTTGAATAATAATATTGTAAGCAGATTTACTATCATGAGTGAAGACTATCAACGAATATCAAAGAAGGTATGTAAACATGTATTTGTGAACATTAATACCTCTATCTTACAAGTTCAATCACCTTCCAGTTGATTTACTTGGTTGGGCACTGGCCTACATGTAGTTTGGGGTTTAGTTTTGAGTTTAGTTTTTACTGTTTTGCACTATTTACATGATTGTACAATTTTCAACGTAATTTAACTATGATAACGAAAAAACTACCAGAAGAAGTAGGAAATGAAATGAAAAAAATGGAAACATTTGTGGGTGCAAGTTACAGCAAAACCAAACCAACAATCAAGTGCTCAAGGTCTCAAAACATCTGAATACAAGACTGTTTTATGCAAGTGGTGTAATAAATTTAAAAGTTTGAAGCTTGAGTAAGGGGTCCACTTAATACTAAGAGGTATCGCTGTACAGTACAAATACAGTGTTTCCTAATTATATTAAAAAGCAGCTAAAATCATCATACTTTTCAAATTCACAGTGTCGAGAGGCTGGTCTGATATTACAAGATGAACTGTGCAAATCAATAAATGAACTTCATAGGGTATGTTCATTTAATCACCTTCAAAGATAGTTCTGACCCATTTGGTATTTAAGGATCATTTATAAAATTAGATAAAAACGTGGACTTGGTTTGTTGATTTTCTTCTAGAAATTACGTAAACACCACACATTGTTTGGGGAAAGTAAGACGGCAGAAACTAAATTAAAAAGTACAGAGCAAGCACTTCTGAAATCTGAGGAATCTGGAAGGAAAAATGAAAAAATGAACAAGCAAAAGGAGAAGGTATTGCAGTAGTTAACAAATAAAACAGCTTTTTCCAATCTCCATTCAGTAATAAAGCACGCAGGAAGAGAAAAAAGCACGAAAGAAGTGTAAGGAGAAGCCCGAGTCGTAGGCGAGTGCTTGTCGCATTAAAGTGATAACACGAGCAGCAGAGTTTGAATGTTTATTAAATGTTTCATGTTTTGGTTGAAGCATGTTGAAGCATGTTCACGCACTTCACATGCAGTCACATGATTAGTTCCATTTATGCAAGCATATGCTATTACTCCTATGCTTGTATTGCTAGTAAATTGTATTAAACCAGGTTTAGAAAAATATTGGCTTTGTTGCATTTTTACCAATATTCTTTTCATTGCTACACGCTGATTGGGACAACAGTCGCAACAGGGAAATAGTGCAATCTGTGCTGCCAATCAGAATATGAAGGCTCCAACCAATTTATTCAATTGACAGAAGTGTATTGCACAATTTCCCTATCGCGACTGTTGTCTCAATGAGTGTGTAGCAATGAAAAGAATATTGGTAAAAATGCAACAAAGCCTTTTTAGATAATGGTAGCTGATTTACACAAACACAAATGGGAGGTGGAGCTTTTTCAACCCTATTAATTTCACCCAGGCCTGAAATTTTAAAGTGGATATATACAATATTTCTAATTTTCAATAATTGAATTTATTGTTTTGAAATATTTGTCTACAGCACCAGCTTAGATATTCTGAAAACAAGAGAAAGAGTATCAAAGCCAAGAATGAATACATACTTTCTTTACAATCGACCAATAAGTTTGTACAAACTTATTTTAATAAGTACCTATCTGACCTTATAGATGTAAGTATATATGCATGCCAAGCTAGCAGGGGAATATATTGTTCTTTAATCATTAAACGGTGTGCATCCGAGCATAAGTCTTGGTAGCTTCTCACGAGTTCCAATTCTTTCTCTTATCTCAGTCTTCACTTTTTTTCACTAAAACAAAAAGGATCCAAACTATATTGCAGTCTGTTGCTTTATGTTATTTTGACTTTTTATTGACTACACACATATTGCTCCTTTTTTACAGTCAAACAAGCTCATGTGTTGACCCCTAGATTCGATTAATGAAATCATTTTAGTCAATTATTCCTTTTATACGTACGAACCGGAATAATGCAATATTGCAATATTCAAATGAAAATTCAGTTCATTATTCGACTCGTGATGAAGAAGGTAAATCATCTAAATTACAGATACCTTCGAGCAGAAGTCGCTCTCTTATTTCATAAGTATACACACTAGGTTTTGTAATTTCCATGCCTCAATTACTTGGAGGATATCATCAGTAATTTTGTAGGGAACAATCCCGCCTTGAGCAAAATGGAGACACAGTTCCATGTCATCAATAATGTTGAAGAATTTTCTGGACTCCCCAACTAGAAATTTTCAGTTGTCACGAAATTGCTTTATTGGATCCGCTATTGCTGAGATGAACAATCCGCTATTGCTGAGATGAACAATTTCCTGTCGAATAATATCAGGTAAAGGCTTTCCCGGCACATAAACACGGCAAGACTATTTCTGGCCGCCATGTTTTCTTGGTTTTCTGGCAGTGTTAGCACTGATTAACCAATCAAAATATCGTATATTGAATTTAAAGTTGATTGGAATTTTCATATCTTCGTTTTCGACGTTGTAAATTTCAACTGAATAATGAAATCAAAATTCGAAAATTCAAATCATTAATCGACTTTAGGGGTCAACGCGTGAGCTTGTTTGACTGTAAATGTGCAAAATTGATTCCATGCTCAGCTCAGCCATCATTGGAGGAATCCCCAAGGACTTTTTTTAAAGGCCCTATACCCCCAGAAATTCCAATTTTCTTCCATTGAACTCTGTAATTTTCTTCCTTCTCTGACCCCCCAACCCAAGAAATTCCTCTGGTTAGGGAAAGGGAGGGGGGGGGGGGGGTAGTTGGGGGTATGATTAATTTCTGTGTAATAAAAGTATGATTAAATTTATTCACAATTAAATTATCGTTTTATAATTATTATGTTTTTTAAATTTTATTTCAGGGATTTGATTTTAATTATCACGACTCATTTAAGAATGCAATAGAAGCTTATGCTTCCTTGGAATGTGTATTTGCATCGTCTACAATTCAGTCCATGGACTCGATACGGGAAGTCATGCTGTCAGTTGATGCTGAAGTGGACAAGCAACAGTTTTTTGAAGACAATCAGACAACGTTTTCTCTACCATCTCATACTTTCAATTTCATACCAAGTAATGATGAAGAGGTAGGATTTCAATGCTTATTTCTTCCTTGGATTCTTTTCAAAACAATTAAAGCCTGTGTCACTTTAGTCCAGAACTGGACCCACTTTTTTCTGCGCGCGCGGTAAAAATACGAGAGGAAGATCTGGATCGGGACGTGATAAAATCAATCATTTTTTTAGAATCAGAGCTCAGAGGATCATTGCGCGCGCAAAACAATAAACACAATTGTGAAAAGTGGGTCCAGTTCTGGACTCATGTCACTTGGAACAATTCCTCTTCCAACTAGTATTGTAAAAATATTAACAGGTTGCATAAGACCCAAATTASAGTCATGTGCATAATTTTGGCTGCGATCGCTGGGGTAAAAGTTGCAAGTCGCATACCATTTTTTGAATCATTTAATTTAAAGTGATTGGCTTGTACGCTCTAATTTTATAAAGAGGCAGGTTGCCCAAACATGATACAATATGTAAATTTATACAAAAATTAGAAGCCTACATAGAAGCATAATGTAGAAGCCTATTTTTAGTGCAGCAAAAACAATTAAAAATTCAAGTCAAGAGAGGGGATGTCAAACATGAAAAACGCTCAAGTGCAACTTGCAAATTTTTTCACACACAAGAAATTGTTCCTGGAAACACGGACGTAACTAGGACCCCTTTTACAAATTCAACCAGTTTATCATAATGTGCTGTGATGTTTGATATTGTCTTTCCATGTCCAGACCTGTCAGATCTCTCCCCAGCAGTCTGATGTGGTTGATTTTCATTGTGATGTATTTAAGAATCTCAAGCAAATAAAGGCAGAGACGGATGAGGTACAGTACTGTTCTGACTACTGTTAAGTTGGTAAAACTATATGAGACAATAAATCATAGACCTTTTTCTATTCAGTTAAATACAATTATTATTATTTTACATTTTGAGGCCGGCACACACAAGGGAGCTTGCTCCTGCAACACACTCCTGCAACATGCTTCCAGTCTGTACCAACGATTTCACACAGAAAAACTCTTTTGCTCCCTCATATCAAAATGATTAAATATGATGGAACAAGCTTGAGGAGCAAATCTGCTGCAGAATTGTGTTTCGGGAGCAAGCTCCAGGGCCGTGTGTACTGGAACTTTTATTGCCGTGCAACAACCTGTTTCCAGTTGGCCAATCAAATTGGCTTATTTGTTGAAATTAATAACTAGTATATATAGGCAGCTGTACATCTACCAATGTAGTACAGTACAAAATTTTAATAATTTTTTATTAGTTTACTCTCATTCTAGTTTACCTTTTTATCATTACTGTATCATTCTAGTCTCAACTAAGTATATATTGCATATTTCTTAATTCCAGATTAACAAAACAGTAGAAGCCACATCAGATGCTCTTAAAAACATGTATAAGCAATGGGACAGTGAGATGATGAAGATAGCGAGTGGCAAGGTGGATGCTATGCTAGGAGYACATAGCTGTCAATCAATTAAGAATAGTAGCGATGACCTGGAACTCTACTATCTTTCTGTAAGTGGTATCTGTCAATTAAATATAAAATATCAGCAGATTTAAAAATCTAGTCATCTAATGATAATGGTTTACGATTTATCTAGTGCTCAAATTTTATATGTACACAATGTCATAAACATAGATGCTTACGATGATGAGATTTGTTAAAGTGCAAATAAACCCTTCGACAATACTTTCAGTACTGATTCTAYATGAAGTAAATAGTTGAATGGTAAAATATTTCTTGATTTGAGTGATGCGTTTCTAAGTTATGAAGGTTTATACTTCCAATATGCTAATGAGTGKGACGTCTATTGAGGCTTAATTAAATATACAAAATCGAACTGGTTCATAGATACAGTATTTAAAAATCATTATTATTTTACTCATGGTTTACATGAAAGCTATTTAAAATTTTTATTTTCAAAATGGCCAGCTTTTAGTATTACTAGTTACAACAAAAACACTCAAATACCTAACCTGACGTCATCATCATTAACATATTGGAAGTATAAACCTTCATAACTTAGAGGCACATGTCACTCAAATCAAGAAATATTTTACCAATCAACTATTTACTTTATGCAGAACCAGTACTGAATGTATTGTCGAAGGGTTCATTTGCACTTAAAGCATTAGGTGTAGGCACTCAGGCTGGTCACCAGCAGCGATTCCTTACACCCTATACAACATGTATGATTTCAGAGGATTTCTAGTACTGTATATGTATTCTACTATCCTTAATTGACAGCTGTCAATCATCAAGACAATGTGTTGCACCAAAGCAACTCCAGACCTGAATCATTTTCTAGGTGTCTTTGGTTCCATTCCTCAAAATCACTGTTCTCTAAATTAGTAAATTTTTCTCTGATTAAAGCCAAAAATCTAGACTGTTATGATGTAAAAACATAACCAAATAAACTGGGTCTAAGAACCAGAGGTAATTCAGCACTAACGCATTAAATTACACATTACAGAAACTCAAGGAAAATATGTTGACTAGTAGTTTAAAGATTCGAATGGAAGCCCAGAATGATATTCTGACAAGAGCTCTAGGTAACCATACTTATGAATAATATTTTATTTTTCTGCATTTTCTTTGATCTGTATGCAGCCTTATTAAAAGAAAAAAAATTAAACGTTGAATACTGAAAACTGTTTTCCAAGACCAAAATGCATTATTGATCATGGCCTTTCCTTTCATCCTGGATGTCTAAAACTCCTGCTGTTGTTGCTGCTGCTGTTGTTGCTGCTGCTGTTGTTGCTCCTGCTGTTGTTGCTCCTGTTGTTGTTGCTCCTGTTGTTGTTGCTCCTGCTGTTGTTGCTCCTGCTGTTTGATGCTCCTGCTGCTGTTTTCGTCATAGCTGTTGTTGTTATTGCTACATGTTATGTCCTTGTTGCTGATTTGGTTTATACTGGTGATTCGGTTTGTATGTTTTGTTACATCATGTTAGATTTCAAACATCTGATTTCTCCAAACAGGTGAAGTAACAGAAGATACTGTTGGCAAAAGGTAAATACATTATTTACTATAATGTCAGTATTCATTTTGCTCCCCTGTGTTTACTTTCATTTGTTTTCTCTCAACAGACGAACTGCCTACCATAAACAGCTTCCTGTTGACACCAATTCACCTCAAGCTGCAGCTATTTTAGATTCTGTTCAAAAGAAAACCAAGATATTTGGCTGCAATTTGAGTGAATATCTCAAGGTAGATTTCCATCCCATGGTCTCTTTATTTTAGGGATCTCGGAGCATCATTTTCATTGGGGGGTGGGGAGGGGGTTCGGCCAACAACTGAAACTCATGAAAAAGTTTTAAATTGAGACCCTTGGAAGTGCAATTTCTAGTGTTTTGAGGGGCATTTACGACATATTGATTGCATAGTCATGTCGATCACTGTATTTAACCAACTCTCAGTCCCAATGTTGCCTACATATCCCTTTATTCCCTAATTTACTCTTCTTAAAATAGAAATTGTTCTTTTGTAGATAACTGGAAGACAAATCCCAGAAGTTGTAGAAAGTTGTGTACGATTTATTAAAAAATTTGGTAAGTCTATTAGTTAAGAGTATAATCTTACTTGCATAATATATTTTATTATTAATAATTACACATTAATAAGATATTTATAAAGCGTCATTTCCGTGAGTTTAATGATGCTAATACAATAAAAGAAAAGATAGAATAATTAGAATGATCAAACAATTGAGTCAATGTACATTCAAACGCCTTATACTTCTATGTTTGAAAATATCAATGTTATCACTGTACTTGGTGTTCTCTGATAGCTTGTTCCTTAGTTCACTAAACAGTTAACTAAACACACATTAGTAGACACTATTTTTAGTGGTATATTTTGTTTTACTTTGACCTGTTAGTCACTGATAAAACTAGCCTAGGTCGTCTTTTGAGGCTTCAGAAATGTGGTGCACGTATAATTCTCAAGAGAAAGGTTAGGGATTGTGGTTCAGCCAGTTTACTTAAAGAACTGGGTTGGGTTTCTTTAGCAGAGAGGTGGGTTTTTCATAAGTGTCTTACATTTTTCCGCTGCTTGAATGGTTTCTGTTTTTCATATCTGAGAAATTTATTTAATCGTAATTCAGATATTCATAATTACAATACTAGAAGGCGTAATGACATTCATTTACACAAGATATCTTCAAAATCTGGTCCATGATCATTTTTCTTCGCTGCTGCTAGATTATATAATGATTTAAGTATATGTCGTCAAATTATCTAAATCTGTTCGAAGTTTTACAACTAATTTATATTGGCGAGAAAGAAATAATTAATTATCTATTTTATTATATATTACTAATACATCACAAATCATAGATAATATAAGATTTTTTATAATAATTATAATAATTTTAGGATTTTTAGAATTTTTTAGGGATCTTTTTAAGAATTTTCTTTTCATATTTTTAGTGATTACTAATTTTTCATTTCTAATTTATATTTGTACTTTTTTTTCTTATGCAAAGCTTCAGTGTAAATAAGTGGTTAGCTTTCTGAATTCTGTGTGAAATAAAGTTATTATTATTATTATTATTATTATTATTATTACTAGAGTGCAAACAATTAATCTGTGAATAACTAATTACTATGGTACAAAATAGTGCTACTAATTAAACAATAGAAAACAATGGAATTTGCATGAAATTGTGCTATTTAGTATTAGAGTACAAACACAAAACGTGTGCAACACTTTGCAGTATTTAGTAGTAAATAGTGCTAATTAAACAATAGAAAACAATAGGATTAGCATAATTTAGCAGTATTTAGTGGTATTTATGTTGCACACTTATAGTGTTTGCACTCTAGTATTAGAGAAACTATAATCTTTTTTCCTATGAAATCTAATAATTTATAAAAATATTTAACAATGAGAGTAATAGCTTGGGTAGATGTGTCTGGTGCCATCAATGTGACCACATGTTTGTTTTACCAACAGGTCTAGATCATCCAGGTATCTTTAGGTTGTCTGGCTCTTCTACTGATATCAATGATATGAAGCAACTCTTTGAATGTGGTAAGGCAAACATCTCACTCTTGAAATAATGTTTTGATAATGATGATGATAACGATAATGGGATTATAATTAGAATACACCAGTTTTACATTCAATGCATACCGCGGTTTTTGAAGACTACAGACTCATTTGCACAGGCTTATCCTCGTTTATAATTCAGTTATTCACAGATAACATTAAACGTACGTGGGATTTCAAAACATTCGTATTGTTCAAGCTGCGCATTCTTTACATTAAAGTTGACATTTGCAAATGATTTACTCTTAAGCAAGGCTAAGCCTGCGGAGATGAATCTTCTGTCTTAAAACACAGCGGTATTTACGATATGTGAAAAGGGACTATTGGCCTTGTTTGTTTGCCATCCAGCAGAGCCTTCCCCAAGGGATCTTGAGCTGAATTGATTCGTTAGTAAAGTCATATATCAGCACGTGACTGTTTGTTGCAAATGGCCTATTGTGTTATACTATATACATGTGTCCATAGTTAGGGAAGATCAACATAGTAAATGTTGCATTGATGATGATGTGGATGATGATGATGATGATGGAGGAGATGGTGATGGTGTTGCATGGTGATGGTGACGGTGATGATGGCAATGACGATGATGATGGCGATGACGATGATGGCGATGACGATGATGATTATGATGATGATGATTATGATGATGATGATGATGGTGATGATGATGGTGATGGAAATGATAATGGTGATGATAATGGTGATGATAATAATAATAAAAGTATTTATATAGCTCCTATATAAAAATTCTAAGCGCTTGATGATGATGATGATGATGATAATGTTAATACTTATAAAGGTTGATAACGGTAATGAAGAGATTCCTTTTTTTTTTTTTTTTTTGTCAAGGTCGTGATCCTCTAGCTGGTTTAAATCACTGGAAAGATATCAATGCTGTAGCCGGTCTTTTAAGAGTTTACTTCCGTGAATTAGAAGATTCGTTGTTTCCCAAGTCGCACTACCAGCAGTTCCTTGAAGCTTGCAGTAAGTGACCAATCGCATTAAAGACTCAGATCACATGATACTGTATATGTTTAGAGCTAAGAGAGATCATTGATACTATAAATATACCTTGAAAAACCAATCGCATTTAAGATACATAACACGTGACATCATTGAAAGACTCGTTCGATTTTGAAAACTTTCAAAGCATCACTTGTACCGATAGATACCGAATTGTACTTGAGATCGTGCGATTTTCTAAATTAGCACACTAACCTTGTGTTATCGTTTAATCACATGATAAGGAACCTATTTTCAGAGGTTTACAGTATATTTTCTATGGATTTACTTGAGTCTTCGTACATTTGTTTTATTGTTTAATCACATGATAAGGAACCTATTTTCAGAGGTTTACAGTATATTTTCTATGGATTTACTTGAGTCTTCGTTTTTTTCCTTAGTGGGTCAGTCATCAGAGGAGGAGCTAATCAAACGTGTATCTAATGTCATCAACACGCTTCCTGAAGAGATTCTAAATGTCATGAAGTATATGTTCAGATTCCTCGCATTGTAAGTCAGATGATTTTTACTGTTTAAACAAAAGATGTGGGCTGCAATGCACTCTACTTGTTTGAGAACCATTTCAGACCACGTGTAATTCTCTTGAGTACAMGGTTCATTGTTTGAGTTGTATCCATATATATGTATCTTCTTATGATGATCTTGGGAATGACACGAGGGCTGAAATGGGAACAGCGCATATTTAGTTTTTAATCAGTAAAGCGAAAAGATTGCAATGATTATCACATGCCCACTTATAATACATTCTTGAAGATGTGACACAAAAAACGTTAAGCCTGGTGTAATCGAGCAACGCAAGCGTAGGCGCAAGTGAACTACAGTAACGCAAACGCAAGAAATAAAACCTTTTTCATTTTCTTTTGCTTGCATTTACGTTTGCATTTTTGTTTGCGTTTGCGTTTGCGTTTGCGTTACTGTAGTTCACACGTAGTTTTCTTGCGTTTGCGCTTACGTTTGCGCTTGCGTTTGCGTTTGCGTTTGCGTTTGCGTTTTTAAAGCCTGGTTCACACGAGCAACGCAAACGCAAACGCAAGCGCAAACGTAAGCGCAAACGCAAGAAAACTACGTGTGAACTACAGTAACACAAACGCAAACGCAAACGCAAGGAATAAAAATTTTCCATTTTCTTGTGCTTGCGTTTGCGTTTGCGTTTGCGTTTTTAACGTGTGAACCGGAGAAAACGCAAACGCAAGCACAAACGCAAGACGTGGTTCACACGAGCAACGCAAACGCAAACGCAAACGCAAGGAAAATACGTGTGAACTTATAAACAATCACTACTGCGCATGCGTATCTTAATTTACTTGCATTTGCGTTGTACGTGTAAACATTGCTTGCGTTTGCGCTTGCGTTTGCGTTTGCGTTGCTCGTGTGAACCAGGCTTAACGTGTGAACCGGAGAAAACGCAAGAAAGTATTGGATAACTACTTTATAACGCACCATTGGAAATACCACAAGATGTTCAAAATGCTGCAATGCTGATGGGAAAGAAAGGTTGGGACAACATCGAATATATGTGTGTACAACTGCTTCCCTCCATTCGGATTGACTGTATTCCAATGGCGTAAGATAAATACTGATATATATATATACATATATTATGTTTTTGTATCAGAGTGTCGGAGCACAGTGAAAATAACAAGATGGATGCGCATAACTTAGCAGTGGTATTCGGTCCCACGCTTCTGAGAATTCCGTCAGAACAAGATATGATTGCGTATCAGAGTCACGTGAATGGAATGTTAGAAGTTATAATAAAACACTCCGATGACGTCTTCCCTGGGGAATTTGAAAATGATGCAAGAGGACACTCGGAGACTGAAGAGAGTGACAGCGATGAAGGTTTGTAGGGATGGCTATTTTCGGTACAATATTCTCCTACGCAGCTTATGTTATTGTCGTCACGCAACACTCTCTCCCCTAAGTGACCTAAGTACCTACCTCTTGGAGAGAGAGCGTTTCGTGACGACACTAATAGCGGCTGCTTAGCAGACTACTGAAGTATAGGTTAGATTTCATACAGCACATGGCTCATTAATGAAGCTTTCTTCAACACTTTGGAGGAAATCCATTGGTTCAAGGCCACCCAATAGACCTCTTAACCTTGGGGGGTAACGTTTTCCCTTTTCAGACCACGTGTCATTATCTTGAGAATAAGATTATTTCTTTGAGTCGCATCCATATACATGTTTCTTCTCATGTGCAACCGTTAAGCAAAGAAATGATACTCTAGGGAATGACACGTGGGCTAAGATTGAAAAACATTACCCCAAGACAAAAAGGTCTATTAGCCCCCCCTCCTCCTTCCCAAGACACACCCAGGGGTTTCATTAAGTTTAAGAGTAATAGAAGAAGGCTATAAACTAGCAGGAGAGTCTAAATGAACATTTCACTCTTTACTAAGCTGTATAAAAAAGTAGATGAAGCCGGAGAGGTTTTCTCATTTACCGGAACATTGACCGATCCCCGCCCCTTAATGAAACCCCTGCACCCCTCAGAAATGAAATCGTATCAATACTTTCTAGTAAATGAGAAGGAAACTTAAAGCACCGTGTAAAGACGTTTGTTGATTACTTCCTAATCCCGTCTCATCGCCAGTCCTCTCGTCATGGACGCTCTCGGTCACTAGCTTTAAGATCTGGAGCTTTTTACTTTAAACACCTGAATTTGCTTTCCAGATTTTGAGCCCAGAGACGCTGCAGCCCTCTACGACTACTCTGCAAGGTCACCCAAGGAGTTATCCTTCAAGAAGGGTGACATCATAAGAGTATTCAAGCGATTCAATGATGATTGGTGGGATGGCACTCTCAATGGTTCCGACGGTTTTGTTCCCGCCACGTATATCAAAATCAACGATGCAGAAACGCCTGATAATGATGCTTGCATATCTCCCACTGATACGCTACCCAAATCATCATCAGTGATATCGTCAGGAGATGCTACCTTACAGCGACCGAAGGACTTAAATGGACCCCCAAAGATACCCAAACGAGAGGGGTCCCTGAAAATCCGCCATGGGGGACCAGTATATGGTGATCGGGGTAGCCCTATTGGACCTTCCCCTGCTCCACCTCCGCTAGAAACTCGTTCCTCGCCGCAGACGTCTACTCCTCCTCAAATGAAACAAGGTTTCAGGATGGCTATTTCAGCTGATGATATTCTGAATCGGCAAAAAAATCTGCGCTCCCGACCCAAGGATGATCCTAGTGTGGAGGTGCTAGCGGAAGGGACACCCAACGCAGAAACGCCCAAGTCTTCGACTTTACCTCGAAACCACGGCTCACCTCGAGCCTCTGCGGAAGACTTGAGCAGATCTGCTGATGATCAAGACGATGTTTTCAAGAAGGATGAAAAAGACGAAAGTCTTCAGAAGAGATCAAACTCCCTAGATTTGGAACGAATGGTGGACGAATCAAAGCCTCCTATTTGGCCTTTCAAGGAGGGGTCACCAGGTTCGGCAAAATTTCCAGATCCGCCCTCGAGTCCAAGGTCATCGGTTGGACCCAAGATTCCTCCTGCGGTGAAGCCCAAGCCTAAAGGAGGTCGGCCTAACCCTCCTTCTCGTGTTGAGTCAGGCTGTGATCTTCTTGCTTCGATACACGCCGCAAAGGCTGCGCGCACTCATAGGACCAGTACTGATGGAGCACCTGATGATAAGACGAGCGACAAAAGAGATAGTCTGGGGTCTGTTGGCGATGACACTCAGCTGTAAGCAGAACCTACGTTTAGTTGATATTCTTATCATTATAATATGGTTTTTAGTTTGATAATTGCACGAAATGTGTTTTGTAGTTGGGGCTTTGTTATACGCCACGATTCCTCGTTGTCTTGTGGAAAACATTGATGCAGGCTCCGAGGCACTGTGTTTCACAACTTGTCTAATTGCGCAGAAAATTGGATGTAGTTTTAGAAGTTGCACATAGTTGAAGTAAAGTAATTTCTCTTTTCCTGCAACGAACTTTGGAAGACACATTTTGTTCATTCCTATGTTACACCACGATCAATGAGCTCGTACAGTCTGCAGCAATGTTTTTCACAAGGAAAATTCGCACTTGTCTTGTTTAATAGCGCCTCTTCTTATGCACCAAATAGTTTGTGTTGTACTAGTTGAATGTGTAGTATCCGTGTATTTGCGGTGTAAATATGTAAGTCTGATAAGTGCACTTGCAGTTCTAATTCATAAAGAGAGTTATCAGAGCGATTTGACTGAAGGAAAACTACTTCATAATAGTCCCCTTCACGGTTCCCTACGCCATCTTGAAAGGTAGCCGTGCCTTTGCATCGAAGCGAGACGAACGGTAAGCTTGCAATGACAGAGAAGTGAATAATTGTCCAAGGCGTTAAAAAAGGCCTCTATCATTGCAAGCTCACTGTTCGTCTCGCTTTGATGCAAAGGCACGGCTACCTTTCAAGATGGAGCAGGGAACCGTGAAGGGGACTATTGGCCAAAAATATCAGTGTTGGTATAGAGCGGTTTCCGCGTAAGTGGATTCCATTCTTGAAACCAATCAAAGCGCGAAAGCCTACTGCTTATCCAGTCAACGCCACAGCACTTTCCCTACTGCATTGTTCCTATGGTATGAAATACTTAAACTTTGCTATATCGCTCAGATAACTTTCTTTTGTATAGCAGCATCGTTAGTTTTGCTGTAGATGTGTTAGCGTAAAGTAAGCACCACGTCCCGTACTTTAATTGCACTAGTTGCTGACCTGTAATTCAACATAAGGACGACCCCTATGTTGCAGCTCAAATTAAAGGACAAAGCAATGGATTTTATTTCTCAGAAGAGTAAAATTCCATTGCTTTGACCTCCAAATTTCAGCTGCAGTGGGAATAAGCTGCAAGAGGACGGCATGCTGTTTGTTTTTGTGTTTGGCATAAATGTGCTGGCAAAACCTAAGAACTGGTAAATCAACTGTACGTATAAGTTCTTGGCTGTATAATATACGTACTGCATAGTTAGTAAGTATTACCTAAGCATTTGGCTCTTCTTTTCTCCTTGTTCCCTAACCCCACACTTTATCTCCTCTTGAGGGGTAAGGGGCGAGGTAAAGGGAGCCCAGTGCTCAGGATAGAAATGCACTGCATGGATGTTGTTAAGAGCGCATGTCTAAGCAGTAGTAACTGTGCAGCACTAACAAAATTTAAGCATCTAGATACGTCATAAGAAGCGTGGCTGTTGCACGATAAATATCACTGTATGACTGTGATAGACAGCACTTAGCACCACAGTGCCAGTAAGTAGACTGATCCGTCTTTGTCATCTTTCTTCCTTTGTGTTTGAAACATATACACTCAATTGAAGAATCGTTGTCAGGTTCAGAAACATAGAACATAAAAGCTGAGACCGAAATGGCACATGGGAAATGGCATAATTATATTATAATTTATTCATTTGCGCCATCCATGCAGTCGGTTTAGAATGCCAAACGCGTATTGAAAACAGTGGATGATGCCACGGGTGGCCGGTCACAGCATGCATCTAATTAACGTACTTCCCATGTGCCATTTCGGTCTCAGCTTCTATGTTCTATGTTTTATGTTTCTGACAACGATTCTTCAATTGAGTGTATATATATATACACTGCACATTTTTAACGAGTCTGCATGGTGGTCGTACACGTGTTACTAATCATAATTGCAATCCCAATCTGCTTTAACAACGCTTGCTACCAACAGCAATCACAACTAACGTTAACACTGCATATTTTTATTATTTATATGTGTGTGTGTGTGTGCGTGTTTAATGTATTTTATTTCATTAATGTCTGCCACGTTTTTTATAATTGCACGACTAGACGTTAATCATTTTGGTCTTAATGGGTGTTGAAATTTTGATTAACGGAAGTAAAAAGACCATAATTGTCTAGGTCGTGCGATTATGAAAATGTAACGTAACCAAAGGTGTGACTGAACTAACTTTCAACGAGAACTCATTTAATTTTTCTAACTTTTTGTTCCATATGTAACGCAGGTCGTAACACAGACCAACACAGCCATTCACAGAAATCCACTGGTTTCTAACAAGAAATCCATCGTCATTTTAAGTTCAGACCGCTGTTCATTGCTCGTGCTCCATCGTTTCATTTCACTGTTTGATTTCATGTTTTATTTGATGGTAGTTAGATGGTATCCAGTACGCATGCGCGAAGAATGCTTACTGAATTGTAAAGTCTTGTATTTCAGAGCCTAAGTTAATTTTGGTCAGCAGATGAACGAGAGACGTTGAGAGAATTCAAATGCAGTGCTTCTAACATTTGATTGGTTAAAACTATCCAATTACGTTTCATTTAGCCTCGCTTCTTTTCCTGATGAGAACGAAAAGAAAGGCAAAACTGCAGATTAAAGCACGAGAATGAAAATAGGGATAGCTCGTTGCAAGCGGTTAATGTAGGATATGAACACTGAAATTACGATTTTTCGCTGCCGTCAATCAAACCTAATCAGTCGGTACCTTACATATTTTTGTCTGGCGGCAACGAAAAACCAAATTCAGCGTGCAACTCGGAGACAAAGAGTTCGCATGTTTATGAAAATTGCAGTAAGAATTCACTAGAATATGATATATTTATGGTTACATTTCTACGTCATTACTCCAATTATTTCATCTATTTACATTCCCACTAGTGCGCATGATCCTACTGATCTCATTGGTGCTGACCAAATAACATTGAAGGCTCTGAAGTCGTTAATTAATGATTTCCAAGTAGAATATAATACTAAGAATCCTAAAAACAAATTCATTATATGAAATAAGAAAGATTACGGGACGTAATCACGTGGATGTGGGTCACGTGGCGTTAGTAGTGAACATACGCTGCACATTTTATACCTAAAAAAAAGCTGAAGAAGTTTGAATCAAAGTCCTTATCCCTTCCATATTTGGTATTATTTTCAAACGTTTTCTTTAAAATGCTGCTGGGTTTTTTCCTGGAAGAGAAAAAAAAWAATATTTACTCGTAGGTGCTAATGTGCTTGGAATATAAAAACGTCTTGAAAAATTTGCCGTTATTATCAATAGAGAGTTTTAGATTTACGTTCACGGCAAACGTGAAACGTCAGTTGACCATTTAAAAAATATTTTAAATAGCTTAAAAAGAATCGCAAAAAAGTCCAAGTAGTAGAAAAACAAAAGAATATTTGTCTTTGGTGAGAAGGTTTGTAAAAGGTAAAGTAAAGTACAGGAAAACGATGAAAACGTGGTCACGTTTGCCGTTTGCGGGGAGAAAAAAAGTTAATCTAAAACTCTAATAATTTTTCGGCTTACCTCTAGCTTGTAGGACACCATATTTTGAACAAGACATATGAGAAATAGACCTCTTTACCTTGGGGGTAATGTTTTCCCATTTCAGACAACGCGTCATTCCCTAGAGTGTTATTTCTTTGTTTAACGGTTGTGCATAAGACACATAAATATGGATAAACTCAAACAAATAATTTCTTTTCCAAGAGAATAACACGTAGTCTGAAGTGAGAAAACATTACGCTCGAGGTAAAGAGGAATACCAATATTCTATTAAAACAAAAATTTCGTTTTGATATAGACTGAGATGTAGATAATAAGTATTAAGTAATGCGATCCAATATCTTAAAAAATATAGTATTTTCTTTACCAACAAACCATGTTGAATTTTTTAAAAAGTCACAACTACGAAACGTAATTTGATTTCTCAATTATTTCTTGTGAGAAATTTTATACTTAGGGGAAGTAGCTGTTCTTTGTCGCTTAGGAAGAAATTAGAAATCAGGCTCGTTTCTCCTGGTTAAAGTCTCAATGAAAAGATAGAAACTGCTTAGAAACTTTTTGGCTATATATATATTGCTTGAGACTTCGATCGAAAATAATTTTTAGAATTTAATTTGAAGTATGTTATATGGTCATTTTCTTCAAGTTAAGATTATTTTCTAGTAAAGTAATAAAAATAAGTTCTGTGTAAAATAATTGATGAATAAAGGGACATGGTTTCGTAGAATTTATGTTTTCTTTATGATTTTTTAGTTTTTACAGCTGTAACTACTTTAGGAGTAAATCGCTGTACTTTCTCTTTGAAATCTTGACCAAAGTTTGGCATTTTGTATCAAGACCGCGCTATTGCAGCGTGCACTGGGTTGCCTAATTGCTGAAATTATGCAGATTCACCTGGGAACAGTGGTCCAGTGGATAAATCGTTGTCGTTCAAGATACTGAGTCAAGCTCGCCCGAGGAGTGTTAACCTTGGATGTTTGACCTAAACATACCTACTCACGCTTTTGCTCCTTTTTTCCGTTTTTCTTTTTTGACTCTTAAGAATAATAGAGCATAGAATAGTGAAACTTTCTATTCTTGAGTAACCTATTCCTGTCTACCCATATCCGTCAAATTGAAATATAGCTAGTAGAAGAAAATCCTTGGGGGAAAAGGAGGGCTAAATGACCGGCACCCGGTCAAGAATTTCAAAACACTACATGGCCGGCAGTTCCATTGATTTTTAAAAATCCAGCTCAATCCATACGGTAACACAAACCAAACTTAAAACTCGAACAAACCTTTTTATTCTTTCTACATATAATCGTTTATATAGCGCTAGCATTATTAGATTAATTATTTTTTTAATTAAAAATCTGACAAAAAAGTTAAAAATCTGACAAGTTAAAATGAACCAGTAAAGGCGATCTACCACGAGGAATTAAATTTTAGGAATTACATCGACAGAAGGCGTCCTTCTGAAGCGTGTGAAGGAGTGCGGGTGCTGTAGCGAGTTTTATAAAGATCACAACACTCAAAAGGACATCAAAGTAA